CACATGCTCCCATGCTGGGTGTTACTGTGGATTAAACTGGGGGCCTTGTGCATGCTAAGGCAAGCACTCAACCCCTGGGCTACATCTCCAGCTCCTTTTATTTTATTTTGAGACAGGTTCTTGCTAAATTGCTGAATCTGACTTCAAACTTGAGATCCTCCTGCTTCAGGTTCCAAGTAGCTGAGATTATTTAGGAATGAGCCACCATGGTCATTTTAGATTAAGTATTTTAATCAATGAATGTATAAACTGTTATGTGGCCATTAAAATGAGATGTATAATTTATCACATGAGAAAATTCTAGGACATTATAAAAGGAAGTTACTTATTTATTGTGTATATAACTCCAAATGTATGTTTTTTTAAAAAAAAGTGTGTGTGTATGTGTGCAAGTGAGTATATACATGTATGTTTATGTATTCCATCATGGGGAAAGTATTGGTGGATTTACACCAATAAATAAGGATACCTGTAGGATAGGGAATATTAATAGGAGGGGGAGAGAACATTTTTTCCTGTAAGTTTGTGACTTACTTGAATTTTTATAGTTTCTTGTGTGTTTGTTTATATATTTAGTACTAGGGATTGAACCCAGCAGTGGTTTTTACCACTGAATCACATCCTACCCCTTTTCATTTTTTATTTTGAGACTGGGTCTTGCTAAGTTTCCCAGAATGGCCTTGAAATAGAGATCCTCCTGCCTCAGCCTCCCATGTTGCTGGGATTACAGGTGTGCACCACTGTACCTGGCAGACATTGTGTTTTAACTTAAATATTTTAAATGTAACTTTGGTTGCAGTACAGAATATAAATTATAATAGAGGTAATGGCAGTTCTCAAGTAGAAAATTTCTTGAAGAAGAATGTTTTTCTTCTTAAACTGAAATTATCTACTGATTAAAAAGGAGCTAATTACATGCTTCATATGTGATTTGTTCTTTTCATCAACATTATTGCATCTTTCTAGGAAAGAGAGGCTAAAATTCCAAACTGCAGGAATGAAGATTGGAAAGAACACAGAGAATTTTAGGAAAAAGAGTGATTAGATTTAGTAAGCAGAGTAAGAGTTAAGGAGAAGAATGAAGATCAGTTTCACTGGGAACACAGGAAGAAGAGCAGATTAAGAATTAAGATAATGGATTAAGCCAGGCCCAGTTGTGCATGCCTGTAATCCCAGTGGTTTGTGAGACTGAGACAGGAGGATTGAGAGTTCAAAGCCAGCCTCAGCAATGGCAAGGTATTAAGCAACTGAGTGATACCTTGCCTCTAAAAAAATACAAAATAGGGGTGAGGATGTGGCTCAGTGTTGAGTGCCCCGAGTTCAATGCCTGGTACCAAAATAAGAAAAAAAGATAATGGATTAAATTTACTGTATTGAGGACCTATGGGAAATTCTCATTGAAGCTATCTATAAGATGGTTTGAAACAATAGGTCTGGTCCCCAGAACGTCTTTGGTATGACTTTTAAAATTTCATTTTGTGGTGAACTTTTTTTAATTGTTTTTTTCCAATGTGCATTTCTTTATTTTCTGATTTAAAATTTACATAAACTAACATTAATGAAGGCACTGTAATATTGGCATAAAAATGCACATGTAGAAAAAAATGGCACAGAATACTGAATTCAAAAATTGACCCACACATACATGGATTGATGTTAAGCAAGGGTGCCAAGGTAATCCAATGGGTAAAGGACTTTCCAACAACTGATGCTATGCTAAAAGAATTGGACTTCCATATTAAACAGCAACAACAACAAAACCAAAATTCGTTGACACTTATCTTGCACCAAATAGAAAAATGAAATTAAGTGATCAAATAAATAATATAGATAAAGCATGGACTTATAAATAGTAAAATACAGCATCCAAAATATAAAAATCTTTACAGCTCAAAGTAAGGGAAAAGTAATTTTAAAATGTCCTAAAAATTCAGATATTGCATGAAAAAGTAATAAGATTAGGTTAAAATGATACAAAGCTCATTCTCTGAAATTAATAAGAAATCACAAATTAATAACAAGAAAATTTGAGGTATTCACAAACATAGAAAACATTGTTAATTAACAGTGCATTAAAGAAGAAATCACAGGGAAATTAGAAAATAATTTGAAATGAATGAAAACAGAACATGAAAGAATTCAAGTTATTCAGAACATATTAAGATGACATTTTAAAATTATAATTGTTGATAATTGCAATAACCAAAGGAATAATGTATAGAGTGAGAGAAGATGCTTAAAGCAGGAACCCTGGGGCCCATGGGGGAGCCAGCAGAACAGCACCTGAAGCCACTGACAAGTTGCCTTGGAGGGGATGCATCAGTATTCCGAGAGTGAAGATGATGTGAATGGTCAGTTGTGTCACACTCCACAGGAAGTGAGAGAAAAATGAAACATTAAATTTATAATATAGTATTACACTTTGAGAATGGATTATGGTGGAGAGCCCTCTAGTGGAAGGGAGTCTGGTATTTGTAGAACTGGAAAAGGAGTTTAACTCCGAAAATAATGTGAGTGTTGCTTGCATAAAAGTGTTTTCCTCTTGTGAATACAATGGGATTATTTTCTTACTGGAAGAAAAAATAAGCGAGGGTTAATTTGAGTCAATGTACACAGATTATATATAAAATTTTTCTGCTCTGTAAAAGGTAGAAAGGAAAAGGATTTGAGGAGGTAAAATGAGATTTTCTTCAGCAATGGGAAGAAGCAGGTAAGTCAGGGAAATATCTGCTATAGCAAAGCTTCTGGTAAAGAGAAGCTGAAGAAACTCAGAATATCAAGTTCTACTGAAGTTCCGAACCAGTCTCACAGACATGAGTTAAAGGAAAGTTGCAGGGTCTCTTTTGGAAAAACCGCCTGCTTTACAGTTCATTTTCTACACTTGTTATATAAAACTGAGATAAGTTTATAGGGAAATTCTTTGTTTTCTCCTCATACAAAAGCTGAGATAGGAAGCTGCTCTACATTAACCTTCTTTTTCCCTTTGTTTTGTTAAATTGGTAATTACACATGTAGAAAATTGAAGAATAATATATTTTTAAATAGTTTACATTGCTTACCTAAAAGAGTAGAATTGGATAAGAAAGGCAGAAATTAACTTCTTTTTGTAACTCTTTTAACTTAATTGCAATCTTTATAAAACAATCAAGTATGTAGTATTTAGGGTGAAAAGCTAAAGATTAAATGAATGCATATTTAGGAAAAGGTTATGAAAGCAATATAGAGGTAGGAGTGTTAGAAAATTTAACAACTTTAAATTTTTGTGCATATTTGGTTATAAATATGCAAATACAAGAATACCAAATACAAATATTTTTGCATATTTGTTACTATACCAAATAGAATATAGATTACATAAAATTATATATCCATAAAAGTGTAGTTTTTTATTTATATCATGAGCAGCTTTTCCATATTAATATATATCCACTTAATTTAGTTTTTGAAACTATATAAAAATTTTTAAACTTTTTGGGGAAACTTCTTTAAAATTTAAATACATATATATAGAATAGGGTCCAGGTTAATAACTTTTAACAAGTGAAGGCACCCACATAACCACAACTCCAGATAAGTTAAAGAGCACTGTTGGGCACATACTAACCTTCCTCATCCTGCCTCCAGGCATCTGTATTGGTAACCAGTATTATTCTGATGGCCATCATCTCTGTAGCTTAGTTGTGTGCTTTTGTTTGTTTTGTTTTATATTACTTTTTATAAGTTTAATCCTGGTTGCCTATGGGGTTTTTGTGTATGAGTCTAACTTTTTATGGTCAATATTATTTTTGTGAGGTTTCTTTGTGTGGTTACAGATAGCAGTAGTTTATCATTTTTCTATTTAATATAGAAGTCAAATGCATGTATGTCACAATTTATGCCTTCTACTGTTGATTGATATGTAGTTTTTCTGAATCGGGACTATTATAGATAATGCTCATATATGAGCCTTCTCATCTTTTGAACATACTTCTATTGCATAGGTGTACATTTCTGTGGGCATTTCTAGGAAACGCATTGTTCGGCATATCTTGTACAAACTGAGCATTAGGATACTGTCCAAATATTTCCCCAAATGGCTCTTATTTTACCCTACATGCAGAGATTCATATGCTCCATGTCCATAATTTTTGCTAACATATGAGGATTGTAAGTTCAAGGCCAGTTTAGGTAATATAGTTTTGTCTTTCCTTATTTTCTTTCCTTTTGCTAGTTATAACCAGAATAAGCATATAATTCTCATACTAGTAAGGTTCAGATGTGCTTTTTTACTTTCAGATGTGGAGTTTTTTTCACATTTCTAACTAATTGCTGTCAAGCATTTCCTGGTGATAGCAGAAAACTATTTTTTCTATATTCTGTTCCTTTATTTGGGGAAATTATATGTGCTTGAAGAACATTTTTAGCTAGTGAGGTTTCTTCAGAGGTCATATTTCAGCATAAGTCTAAAAGTCTGCCAATTCTTACTTCTTTATGCTAATGGTAATGAGTCTAAAAATGCCTAAATGAATTAACAAATAAGCCAAAAACCTTATTGAAGACAGTATTTTCAGTGACTTCTCCTTTCCCTGCACCTAAATCTTTTTACGAGTATCAATAATAAATGGGAAAACTTGCTGACTTGATTTTTTTTTTCCCCATTCAGAATCTGTTAAAAGTTTTAAACCAGAGGTGGGTGGAGGGCACCCAAATGTAATCAATTTCTGACAAATAACTGGAACATAGAAATCTCTTCATTTATTTCATATTTTATGGACCTGGTTTGAAAATAAATTTTAGAGGGCCACTGTGAAGTCTAGGCTAATAAAATGCTTTTTAACCTTTAGTAGATAATTTCTGAGTATGTTCTAGCCAGTGCAGTGGAGCCCACTGTTAAGGACTCTGCTCAAGTTTCAGCCTCCTGACAGAGTCACTTAAGAATAAAGCTCCCAGTGACCAGAACCCTCAGTAGCTTCACTATTGTTTCACTGCCCCCCACAAAAGCTGTTTTTCTCTCTACATAGGTATCAGTCAGAGCCGGATCTCTCATTGGCTGCTGCAGCAGGGATCAGACCTGAGTGAACAAAAGAAAAGAGCATTTTACCGATGGTATCAACTTGAGAAGACAAACCCTGGTAAATATCATTTCCTTGTGCTTACTTCATCTGAAGCAAGGCAAATGTATGAATTATTTCACTGAATCCAAGTGTTAATTCGTTCAGTAAGGTAGTTTCCTACTTTACTGTTGTTCTTTTATGCACTGCCCCCCCCAAAAAAAAACAACCATATACTTTTAACTGTAAAATCTAAGCCCTGACTGTAATACTTTTTAGTCTATTGTCTAATATTTTCTAGTCTTGTTCATACCCTCCTCTAAGCTACCTCTTCGCTTCCAGCTTATATGTTAACCTAGCAGCCATAGTTTAAAAGAATGATCAGGAGTGTCAGTGGCTGGTTTCCTTTTTCCCGACCATAAGTATACATATAAAATTGCACATATTTTATTATTTTTGGAAAATTGTGTTTTAATTTGTAATATCAATTTAATATTTGTATTTATTTTTAATAAATCTTAAAATTTATAGTAATATAGTAAAAATTAATACAGTAAAAATAATCACTGTATTATATCCAGTGATCTCTGTTAATGATTTTCTGTTTCTAGTTCTAATGACTTCTGGGTAATGAATATATCTTTGGATTTTTAAGATGAAACTGCTCTGATGACTCCCAGGAGCAGCAGTAGGTTGGAAAGCTGAATGAATCTTAAGGAAAAAGAAGATCACATAACCTTGTGTTTGGAGCAAGAATAGGCAAGATACTTTTATCAAGTGATATATAAAGTAAAATATGAAGTCATGGGACCGACTGTCTCAATCCACACATTGTGCAGTCTGGTAGCAGTGAGCCTGCTCTCAAGTGTAAACTTATTATGATTTAGTTATCTTGCATAATGCTGCTGCCTAAAGCCTTTGCACAGCCTAAATCACCCATTGAAATATTGCATACCAATAGCACTAGCTTTGAGGTGAAAATAAAGAATGCTCTAAAGCATTCTTGTGTGTGTTTGTGTCTATCTGTGATAAGATTTTTCTCTCCAAAGATTACATTCTCAATCCAGAAGACCCACACAGTACAAAACAGAATAGACTGTATCAATCTCTATGCAATGAATTTTTAAAAATTTATTCTGCCAATAATTTCTGTTTGAAGTGTCTTAGATGTAACGGAAAGTTAAAAGACTAAGCACCTTTTTACCTCTTCTTAGATATAGTTGAGAATATATCGCTGCATTTGCTTTATCTCTATAAAATAAATTTTAAGATTTATTTTTGTCTATTTAGCATTCATCTCCTAAAAGCAAGAGTCCTTTCCTACATAACCACAGTCTCCATTATCACACCTAAGGAAATTAATAAATCCATATTATCTAATATTTAATCCATTGCCACATCTCTCTAGTTGTTGTGAGAGTGTCTTTTGTAGTTCTTTTTTTTTTTTTTTTTAATAAATAGAACCTGTTTTAGGTTAGCAAAGTTAGAATGCTTCCTTAGACTCTTAATTCTAATCACCCAACCTTTTTTTTAATTGATTTTTTAATTCTAACTTGTTGTATATGACAGTGGAATGCATTACAATTCATATTACCCATATAGAGCACAGTTTTTCATATCTTTGGTTGTACATAAAGTACAGTCACACGATTTGTGTCTTCATACATATATTTAGGGTAATGGTATCCATCTCCTTCCACCATCTTTTCTACCCCCATGCCCCCTCCTCTCCCCTTCCACCCACCCTTTTGCCCTTCTGTCTAATCCTCCTATGTTTCCCCTCCCAACGCCACTATGAATCAGCCTCCTTATATCAGAGAAAACATTCGGCATTTGGTTTTTTGGGATTGGCTAACTTCACTTAGCATTATATTCTCCAACTTTATCCATTTACATGCAGATCCCATGATTTTATTCTCTTTTATTGCTGAGTAATACTCCATTGTGTGTATATACCACATTTTCTTTATTTATTCATCTACTGAAGGTAAACTTTGTTTTTATTTTATTTTTATTTTTATGTGGTGCTGAGGATCCAACCCAGCACCCCGTGCATGCCAGACAAGCTCATTACCGCTTGAGTCACATCCCCAGCCCATGGGCAAACTTTTTTATGGCATAAATTTTTTAAGCCATATAACCACAGAATATCTCAAGTTTGCAGTTTTTCTGAACTATATATTTTCATCACTAAATAACTTTTTTCTTTATCTTCTGTATTTCCTATACACTGGAAGTTAGAATTAAAGACTTTGTTAGATTCAGGTTGGATATTTTGGTCAAAAGTACTTCATAGATTATGGGGGGAGGGCTGTACTAATGATGGCAATTTATATTGAAACACATTAAAAAATAAAACAGATTGACAGAGAAATTGAAGATACATGATGAAGTCAGTATAGTAAAATGATTAGGTGAAAATGAGTATGATTTTCACTTACAAAATTGTATTGATGTATATTTGAAATTTTCTCAGTATTTAGATACCTCATTTCGTCACTTATCACAAGGTCTGTGATGTTAAGTTATAACACTTCCCATATGTTAAGCTTGACCATTTCATTAAGGTGGGGACCATCAGATCTTCATCTTACAGTTTATAAACAATCTTTAGGGTGACATTTCTTGTTTGTTGCAGTGCTTGGGATTCAACCCCATACCCCATGCCTCATGCGTGCTAAGCAAGTGCTTTACCACTGAGACACATCCTCAGCCTTCTAGGGCAACATTCTGCCACTGGGTGAACATCCTTTTCTGCAACAGCCTTTTATTGGTGGTTTTAGCATTCCTTCATGATCCTTTTCTAAATTACTTCTTCCAGTGGAGGTTGTAAAATGAGATAATCTAATCTATCATTCCTTCAGCATTTATTAGCTTGAGAGTTTTTCTATAAAGAAGAGCTTTCATTTTTCAGATATTTTCTAATATCTACATACACAAGCAAACCTCTCAAAATAGATTCATTTTTGTTGTTTTTAGTGTGGGGTCAGGGAGGCACAGGGATGGGAGACAGAGTAGGTGAAAGAACAGTTTGGGTTCAAATCCTAACTCCTTTTTTTAATATATTTTTTTAATTTTTAAAATTTACTTATTTTTATGTGGTGCTGTGGATCAAACCCACTGCTAGGCAAACACTCTACCACTGAGCTACAACCCCAGCCCTCAAAATAGACTCTGTTGTTGCCACTGTCATAGGACCCAAGGCAAACACAGTCTAGGAAAAATATAATGCAAATAGTATATGTAATTTTAAATTTTCTAGTAACCACATTTCAAAAAGTAAAAATAAAGAGTGAAAATTAAATTTGATAATATAACATATATAGCCAGTATGTGATCATTTCAGTATTTAATCAATATTTTTATTTTTTAAACATTTTTTTTCTTTTACATACTTGTATACGCACACAATATAAAAATATAATTTGGCCAGTATCACTCCTCAGCACTTCCCACTTCCTTCTCTGCTTTCTACCCTCTAGTCCTTCCTCCACTCGTCCCATTTTGTTTAAAACTTGAGATTTTTTTAAAACTTGAGATTTCTCTCTTCTTTCTTTCTTTTCCTGATTCAGTATATATTTTACACTTAGAGAACCTATTTTCAACCAGCTACATTTCAAGTGCTTAATTGTCATGTGTCTTGTAGTTACCACATAAAATCAGCACGGTTTTCAGATATAGTTGAAACAATACTTCAAACTTGACACTAAGCAATCTTCCCAAAAGATATCACTTCTCCCATGATTCACAGCAGAACAAGTTAGATGGAGAGGGTTTAGTTAGGTAAGCAAGGAACTGTGCCAGGTGGTGTCATGAATCTAGTCATATTCTAAACAAGGGATTGGGACCACCAGGAATTGGCGACCTCCAGGGAGACTACCAAAGGAGCTATCAGGGTGGTCTGGCATGTGTAGGCAGAGCAATGAAGAACTTAGGAGGACAGGACTTAGAGGTCAATTGTGCCAGGCAGTCAGCCTCCACAAAAGAAGGGTTTTTTCCTATTCTTTTGGCACTTGATACAGAAGTAACATGACCTAATCATAGATGTTTAGGCTAAATTCCCACACTGAGGTTTCAGGGCTGGCTTCCAGTCTCAGGCAAAGACTAGTATGCTAGGGATAATTAATTCACTGGAAACAGGAAGGAGGACTAAGGTACAGCTCTCAGGCGCAGCAGCATTGTTGCCAACCAATCTGATAGCACTGTTGACAGAGGAAATTCTCCTTTAGAAGTGCAGGTGTTAGCACTGGGCTGATAGTGTTCTTCTAAAGCTGGGTTTTTAAAAATTGTTCTGTTTTGTTTTTAATCTTACTTCCTGTTTAAATTTACCTTGGAACAAGGTAAATTTAATCTTGGGAAATTGAAGGAAATTAGGCACTGAAATGGAGAAAATGGGAAAGGACTAAGAGGCCATGATTAGGATCTTTGTTCTTAACAGAGATGGTGCCTCCTTGTAAGAGTAAGTTCCCCTCATTGTATACATTTGTTTTGCAACAAACTGGATTACTTTATCCTTTTTAAAGGGCTTTCTATTTATTTTGTTTAAAATCCAAATCTATACGGTTCTCTTCAGTCACGTTTTTTTCTAGGATATAATTTAGAGGTAGCTGAAGAGACAAGGATAGGTTTTTGTCAATTTGTAGTTTTTATTATTAAACTAAAGTAATTGAATATTAGCCACTGGAATTTAAATTTTTCTATTTTCACTTTTAATGTAGGCAATAATATGTGACATATAATTCTTTCTGGATAAATGCAGGGTTTTGTTGATTTTAAAATAACCTTTAGGGCTGGGGTTATAGCTCAGTGGTAAAGCGCTTGCCTGGCATATGGGAGGCACTGGATTCGATTCTCAGCACCACATATAAATAAATAAAATAAAGGTCCATCAACAACTTAAAAAAAATATTTTTTTTAAAAAAAACCTCTACGCTGGGGATGTTGCTCAAGTGGTAGCGTGCTTGCCTGGCATGCGCGGAGCGCTGGGTTTGATCCTCAGCACCACATAAAAATAAAGATGTTGTATCCACTGAAAACTAAAAAAATAAATAAATATTTTTTAAAAATCTCTCTCTCTCTCT